GGGAGAGGCGGGTCTTGCCGGAGCATGCGCGGCTATGGCGGCGTCGGGCGTCGGCGTCCCAGCGGGGCTGGATATCAGCAGGGGAGGAGACGGGGGGAAGGAGGGGGGGAGGGGAGGGGGCAGTCGACGGGCTGTCGACGGGGAGGGCGAGGAGGTCGAGGAAGGCGGCGTCAGCGTCGTCCATGTCAGGGAAGAGCAGAGGCTGGAGGTCGTCGGGAAGGGAGGCAGAAGGATGGAGAGTGGGGAGAGCAGGGTCGCAGGGGAGGAGGGAGTTGTAGCGGAGGCCGAGGGCTTCAGAAGGAGTTGCAAAGGGATGGAAGGGGTAAGTTGGATCATATTGAGGTTCCAAGGTGGAAGAATCAGTGTCTGTAAGAGAGAATGGTAGGAACAATGTCATCATTGAAGAGGGAATGGAGATGAAGACAGCAAAGAAATTTTGGATTCGAAGACTTGTCTGAATTTGCAGATCAGGATGAGAGGGAAACAATTGTTTCACGGAAGTGAATGTTTCCGAAGCAAGTGCAGAGGCAGGAGCAGAGTGAATGTAGCAATGAGTGGGACTAGAGCAGGAGGAGTGACTGCCAAGTGGTGTGGGGAAGGTGAGTAGTGGAGGATGAAGCAGGAGGAGGAGGAGGAGGGGTAAGGGTCAATGCCACGAGTTGAAAGGAGATTCTTTTAAAATGGAGATTGTAGGGTGGGCCAGGTTTACTTCGGACCTCTACCCCTACCCCCTACACTGACTGCTTTTTAGAGGAACCCCCTTGGATGAATAAATTGTTTTTTTTTGTTTTTTTTGGTACTTTTGATATTCCCCACCTGCTCGTCCCCTACCCCTAAGGTCAGAGTTTTCCTATGTTGAGCTATAGTGCAAGAAGGCTCCCCCCACAGCACCGGATGTCACAATTCTAATTTTCAAACATTCCCCCAGAACAAAGGACCATCTTCCCCCGAACCCTGCGCACCCTTCCAAGGCCTTCAACGGCCATTTTCCGTGTACAGAGACGAAATCGTGTCTTTTCGGATCCTCCTATAGGGTGCTCAGTGCCTACAATTCACTCACCAAAGATAAGTTCATACGAGTTGGGCGAGTGTCCGATCGCTCAGTGACTCCCGCCTTCACCCGGAATAGCCCGGCCCGGGCCCGGCGCCCGGCGCCGCGCCCGGGAGCCGGAAAACCGTGAAATACTGAACTCACAAAGTAAAGTGACGGAAATAGACAAAAACTGTAGAGCCTCGGAGTACCGCAGTCGGACAAAGAAGGGGTCCTCTTTTCCTTGTGACGAGGAGGGGTCCTGGCCTGTTGAGGAAAGTTGAAGCGGGGGAACGAGGGCCGAAGTTACCGTTACAAGCACGTGGAGCGGCTGACTGACTCTCCGTGCGAAGAGTCGACCCATTGATAGCCAAGGTTGGGGCTGATTGCGATAATTTTTTTTCTCGAGATTTTTTTTTCGCAATCAACACTTTTTTTATGCACCGATCGAGACACTACCCGTCATTGAAAGGGGAAAGCATCGGGACGGGTGGAGACTGAACAATGTTCAAGAAAAAAAAAGATAACACATGGAAACAACCAAGTACCGGACAGGCAGAAAAGTAACGGATTCCAGGGGGTGGGGGTGGCGGTAAGAAGTACACCCTTTTCTTGCGATGTTTCGTTGTCCTTGTCGACAGACACGATTTCAGCAGCCCTCCCCCTCCTGTCCCTAGCCTCTCCCTTCTCTCGTTGAGCTCCTTGTGCCCTATCCTTGTGCACTCTACTTCTGCTCCTCCCCCTACTTCCATGGCCTTCCTTGTCTCCGACCTCCTCCCCATCGGCTTCTCCGACGACCTCGACCCCTACTCCCACTGCCCCTTCCTCCGCCTCCCCCTCCCTCCCGCAAGCTCCGGCACAAACTGCGAATGTGGATTACACCTTAACCCCCTGATCCCCTGCTACCTCTGCTCTTCTCTCCCTCCCCTGCTCTTCCCTGGCATGGACGACGCTGACGCCGCCTTCCTCGACCTCCTCG